CAGATATTTTTTAGCTCTTTTTTATGATCTGCTCAGTCTGTTTCCTCTACTTTTTTTTTCTGCTGAAGTATCTTGTTCCTTTTATTCTTAGGACAGCTTTCTCTTTGACATTGAACATAGCTTGTGAAGGCTTTTTATATTCTGGGTGTTGATTTGAATTTTGAAGTGTTTGTCAGTTCCTTTTATACATACTTATTTTAGAAAAATAAAATTGTTTCAGCTGAAGATAACTCCTACCCTGAAAAAACTTATATTCTCACCATTAAGTATGAAAAAAGATGGTAGTGTAACCATATTTCCTTTGAAGTACGTGATTAGAACAGAAGTGTGGAACCATTATATTTATTTTTTTGTTTCTTGCATTGTATTACATCTAATTCAAATCAGATAGATTTATTTCTGAAATACTAAAAGCCTTTGCTTGTTGAGTCACTCTCACTCTGTCAACAACCATATGACTTTTGGTTATGAATGTCCTTAAAGTTCTCCGTTCTTCCACTATAGGCCTGACTTTCTTGTTGACAGTCATGCTGTATACTTTACATCTTCATGTACTGTTATGAGAAGAATGCTTTTCATACTGAGTGTCTACACTTTTAATCAGTTTCTGTACAGACTAATCCTCTCCACTTAATTCTTCCAGATGAATCCAGTCCATAACCTGTCACTGGTAATGTGGTCTAGGGAGGTATGTTACTTTTCCTGTTCTAGAGTTCAGAATCTGGTGATGTAGTTGTCTTTTATTAAGACACTCTCCCTCTTCCATCTCAGTGTGGATGTTCTGGCTTACAGTAGTTCAGAAGTAAGTCTACCTGGTTTGAACTTTACATTTTTATGACTAAAATTAATTTCAGAAAGGAACTTACCTCTGAAATATATTTCCACCCACCTACTCATAACTCAGACGAGTATTCTATGTCATCACAGCTGCAAACAAGAAATCTGGTCTGTGGTGGGAGAGCAAGGGTGTGCCACTCTTTGGGAAGGCCCTAAGGGTATATGCCAGGTTTGGTGACAATCAGTCCTGTGGTTTTTCAATTATATGCAGACACACTCACAGACTCACAAATAGTAGTTTATATTTTCAATAGCACTGGCTTCTGGATCAGTGCTTTCCTTCCCTCTCCCCCACATCTTGTACTTTTCAGGAATAATGACATCACATACATAAAGTGAGTTTATGCTCATCTCTTGAATATTAGAATACTTGTGATCACGTCCTTTACATGTACATGAAAAGGAGACAAGCCATGTGTACATTTGGTAGTAGTAGCTTATCAGATATATGTATCACAGAAAGACATAAAATATCAGTGATAATTAAGAACAACAGCATTTCAAGTATCACCCCATTATGTGTATATTCTATTCATTTGTATATCTAATTATTACTCCTACCAAGCTAAAATATATCTTTTTTGTCCCTAGTACTACCATTTTTACCATTAAGTATTAATAAAGGTGATATATTGACACTATCAATTCCCTCAACAGTCTGAAACAACTCTGTCAGATCCTCCATCACTCTTCTTTTTTCAAAATAAAATAATCTCAAATCTCTTAACCTGTTTGACACACCTTTCCATCCCAAGTATCATCCTAGTAACCTTCTTCTGAATTCTTTATTACAATTCAGTGACTCCTTCCTAAGATAAGGAGCCCAAGACTAAACACAATACTTTATATGAGGCCTAACTGGTAACCTGTCCAATGAAAGTATATCCTCGTTAGACTTGTGCTAAATATTTCTGTAGATATGTACTAAAATTCTGTTTGTCCTATCACTAGCAACAGTGCTTGGGTGGCTTAAGAGACTGATCAGGCAGGTGGTAACACTGTTTATGTAGGGATGGCTTGGATTGTTCATCAAAATGCTATTTTTAAATATCTCCTCATTAGAACTTAAAAATACTATACAGTATTTCCTTTCATAACAATATTTACATAATTACTGAGAAACAAGTTATGGGAATGTCTGTAAATATCATAGCAAAAAGTTTGAATTTCTTGCTCTTCTTTCTTCTGTTTCTTTTTTATTACATGTTAACCTGAAAACCAAAACAATGGTGTCAACCAATTTCCCTGAGGGGACATGTTTGAAACGGAGTATCTGGTTTTATAAGTATTATCTGGTGCTTGGCATGGCCAGGTGGTTAAGGCACTCGACTCGCAATCTGAGGGTCGCGGGCTTGAATCCCCATCACACCATACATTCTTGACCTTTCAGCCGTGGGGGCGTTATAATGTGACGGTCAATCCCACTATTCGTTGGTAAAAGAGTAGCCCAAGAGATGGCAGAGGGTGGTGATGACTAGCTGTCTTCCCTCTAGTCTTACACTGCTAACTTAGGGACGGCTAGTGCAGATAGACCTCGTGTAGCTTTGCGCGAAATTCAGAAACAAAAAAACAAACAAGTATTATTCTAGTAGTAATTAAAAAAGAAATCATAATTCTAGTGTAAATGATGTTATCATTACCCCTTCAAGTTAGCTTTTTTACAGAACTTTGTCGTTTCTTAAAAAGCTTAAGTACAGGGTGAAACAGGAATTACCAGCCGATAATAGATAAACAATAAATATTACAGTTGGAACCTCATTGTACATAGAACTTGATTGTAAATACAACCTTTCTATGTCTATTGAAACACTGAATTAAAAAAAAAATAAGTAAAGAAAATTTTCAAAAAAGGAAGTAAATGTAGGGTTGGCTAATATCAGTCCTTCAAAAACAATGCAAACATGATAGTAGGAATGACATTTGCATCATTCCTACATAATAGCACAGGCAAAAATTAATATACAGCAATATATATAACTATTCAATAACAATTGAGTTTAATTTATCCTGTTTTTGTCTGTTAACATTCTACTATGCTGTGTGCCTGTGCTATTATGTAAGGATGATGCAAATGGCATCCCTACTATCTTGTTTGCATTATTTTTGAAGGATTGATATTAGCCATCCTTCTATTTGCTTCCTTATTTGAAAAGTTTTTTCTTTGCATGTTATAATTAAAAGACATCTCTCATTTATTCCCTCAACTCAACAAATAACCTAAATCCTTTTGTAAAGAGTAGTGTTCTCCTCACAGCCAACAATACCCAATACTTTAATGTCACCAACAAATTTAAATAATCTATTCATCATTTCTTTGTTTGTCGTTAATGTAAATCCAAAACAGAAAAGGTCCTAACAATAAATCCTGAGGGACATGACTTGTGACTTTAATCCAGTTTGATTGAACTTCCTTTGCAACAGATCCTACTTTCTTCTATCCATCCACTTTTCTATCCATTGAGCCAACTTACCCTCCATACATTATGATAGAGATAATAATTTTCAAAAGTTTCTTAAATGTTTGTTGAATAATTTCTGAAAATACAGCAACAGTAAATCCACACAATTACCCTCATCTACATAGACAGCAAACTCTTCAAAGAATGACAAAAGATTGATTAGTGAGGCAAGATTCCCCCCTAGTGAAACCATGCAGACTATCCAACAAAATTTTAAACTTTTAAATGACTTTACAAAGCATCTTGTATCTGACTTTCTAAAACTTTTCCTTCCACTAATGTTAGACTAATATGCATATAATTATGTAGATAATTTTTATCACCTCACTTGAAAAGAAGAGTAACATTAGGCAATGTCCAGTCTTCTGGTACCTATCCATTATTGAAGGACACACAAAAAATAGTAGCAAGTGGTTCACATATCCAGTTGTTAACCTCCTTCAAAACCCTTGGGGGAAAATGTTATCTGACCCAGGAGACTTATCATTCTGTAAACTTCTCAATTGTTTCTTAACAAACTCAGATTTAATGTGATCATCTTTTTCTATAATGATACCACCTAGCAACTGTTCAGGATGAGGAACATAGCTTAAACATTCAACAGTGAAAGTGAAGAATAAGTAGAATTTAGTAATTCAGTCATCTCATAATCATCAGAAATGAGCCTTTGTTTTAGCATCCTTCGAAGGCTCTTCTCCGATATTAACATTTTGCTTACCCTTAATGTATTAAAAAATTCTTACTGTCAATTTTTGTATTTTCAGCCAGTCTTTTTTTCTTTGGCATTTTCAATTTCCTAATGTAGAGTTTGACCAACTCTCTTGATATTCTATAATCCTCGAAATTTCTCACCACAGCAGTCAATTTAAATTTCCTGAATTTATGATGTTTTTTTTTTATTTCATCCAGTACACCTTTTGTAAGCCAACCTTGTTTTTACTTGGAGACACCATGTTTTATTTCTGTATGGAACATGTCTATTATAAATATTTAAGAATTTATTTTTAAAGATTTTCCACCTTTTCAATTAGCTCCTCTGACCTACTTTTTCTTACATCATTAGCCTTTATGTGCACAACAAAGACTGCATTACTGCTAGCATCTTTTACTATATCACTTACTCTGTTAGTTGTATCCTCCACCCCTGTTCCTGGAGAGCATAATATAATTATTTTATCCTATCCACATGCCATACCAAAGAATCAGTTATAACTATAACCTCCTTATACTGTTATATTTGAATTCATTTTAGTTATAAGACTGTAGAACATTTTTTTGAACAGATAATAGTTAAGTAAGCAGCAAACCAGTTAAAACTTGAACAGTAATGGTTGAAAAGTGCAAATCATTGAAGATTATAACTACTGTTTATGTAATATTCATTGATAAAGATTCCAAATGATCATTCCAAAATGTGTTGATGAATAGTCTTTTACCAAGCCTTAACTCTACATGGAATGTATTACTGTGCTTTAGAAAGAAATAGAGTTTTCTTTTGCTTTTAGAACATCATTATTGTTTTTCTTAATCTTGTGATACATTATCACTTAATGTTATAGTGTAAAGTATTTAGCAGTTAAGACTATTTAGACATAATTCTTCTGAGTGATGAAAGAAAATTATTTTACCAGTAATTGTCTATGGAAACATTTATGTGTTTAGTGAAACCAGTGTCTTCATACATTTAATCTTGTTTTGTTTCAGTCCAATTGCTGTTAAAATGGGGTTGCAGCATTAATCAGTATGACCCAACTGGTCAAACCCCCCTTCACATTGCTGCCTCACATGGACGTATTTGTATGGTAGATCTGCTGTTGAAGAATCGAGCTAATGTTAAAGCAGTCACAAATTATGGACATACAGCTCTTCATCTTGCTGCTCAACAACCTTCATTAGGTGAGGCATTTATTTTATGTATTAAACCTGAAAAGTCATTTTATTTTATATAATTAAAGCAGAATATTGTGTCGTAGCCTAAAATTGTACAGCATATTGTACAGTCATTTCAGTATGGATTTTCTAATAATTTTTAATAATAATTTTCTGACAAAATAAAGCCCTTTACCATTATATAAATGCCTTTTGATTATAGTTCAGTGTACAACATAGTTATGTAAGCTAAGCCTGTTTTGCTATTTGCACTTCCCAGTACCAGATGAACAATGGGCACGTGCCCCAGGGCCACCCACATTGGGGATCTCCTATAAAATTCAAATTATTTGTTATAATAAATTCACAAATATTTCTTTTTTAAGTAATGCATTGACTGTCACATAATAAATCAAATATAAATAAAATTAAACATTCAAAAGGTGCTGAGGAGCAGTCACACTCTTCCAAACTCATATGCCACAAAAGAAATATGGCTTTGAAATATAATTGCATGTGACCCGTTGGTGTTTCGCATAGTCCATAACTAAAATTCAGTTGTGATGAACAGCAGGGGCACATGACAGCCAACGTGTTAAGATAGCTTACCCTGAACAATAATTCTTTAAAGAATGATAGCAAGTCACATGAAATTATTTTTAAATTAATCTTTTTATATTTTATACAATTTGAATGAAAACAGAACACTGACAACATCAATTGTTATTTATGGTAGTTGACTGACAAGTGTGTGCCAAAGGTCTTTCTCAAAAATGAAGCTTATCAAGAATGTTCTTCTACTATGGGGTAGCAAAGACTTTTAAATTTTTGACCATTCTCTCAACTGAAGTAGATATCCAACAAGCACTAAATATGATGGGATTATATCAGAATTCACAGCAATCACAGTCAGTAAACAAATAATCTAATTAATTAGGGAAATTATGTAATATTTGAACTGTTATTATGTTTTCAATTGTAATAAATTCAGTACTAAACATTGTGTTTATTATTTTAATATATATATATATTGCAAACTATGCTGTTTACCTGTCTCCCATTTATGGCAGTCACTTCCTGTGCTGCATTTGCAAAGCTGCTCATGCAGACAAAGCTCAACATTCACTTTTGAAATGATGGGAGAATGTTGATGCCAAATTTTATTTTAGAAGCAGAATATTCTACACAAAATTGTTAGGAATTAATCCCACTATCATTCACATTTCAAAATGTGATGTAACTTAATTAATAAAAATGTAGGTTTACCATATGTCATTGTTGAGTAGCTCTTAGCATAACTGAAATGCTCAACAATTACTTTTAACAGTGGGCAGTATAAGTAGCTCAGATCTTTGGCTCTGAGTGAAATTGACCCGACATGGCCAGTTGGTTAGGGCACTCGACTCACAATCTGCGGGTCGCAGGTTCAATTCCCTGTCAAACCAAACATGCTCGCCCTTTCAGCCATGGGGGCATTATAATGTGATGGTCTATCCCACTATTCATTGGTAAAAGAGTAGCCCAAGAGTTGGCGGTGGGTGTTGATGATTAGCTGCCTTCCCTCTAATCTTACACTGCTAAATTAGGGACGGCTAGCACAGATAGCCCTTGTGTAGCTTTGCACGAAATTCATAACAAACAAACAAACTGAATGAAATCAAGAATGCAACACAATTAACCTTTTTAAAGTCCATGAAATAATTTAAATTGATAGATTAATTTAAACTCTTCCCATCACTGGGATGGGTACCTTTGTTAGATTAACCTTAACTTTTCCTGTCACTGGGGATGGGTATCTTTGCTTGTGTGTGTGTATATATATATATGTGTGTGTGTGTGTGTATGCATCTATAAATGTTACAAAAATTAGCTTAATATAATTGGGGCCTCCCACAGGTTAAGTGCCCCAGGGCTGCACCACATCCAAATCCAGCTCTGGCACTTACCAAGGATAAATTTCATACTTCCAAAACAATTTTAGTAGCACTGTACTTCTCACATACTTGTGAAACATTGATAATTATTTCATGTTTCTAAATGTAGGCCTAATAATATTTGTTGTATTTTTCTTTTTATTCACAAATTTTTTATCCATATGGAAAATAAGTTTTGTTATTCTTTCCTAAAAATCTTAAACTTAAAATAATTACCAGAATCTGAATTTTACATTGGATTTCTAACTATTTCCAGCTTTACTGGCTTTGAAACATTTTAGTATTTTATCCAACTTACACATCAGTTTACTGGATAATGATATTTCATTTTAGTACATGCAGATGTATTTATAAGTGCATATATATCTGGATGATGTAATTTTAACTTTTTTCTTTCATGCATACTATAGAAGAATTGCCAATAGGATGGTCTGTTGTTTTTAGATTTAACTTGAAAATATAAAAATCTTAGAACTAACAATAGATGTTGAAGTTGATATTATAACCTTGTTTGTAAACAGATGATATGAATTGATATATCCTACAGAAAATAATCTAAAAATTATCTTTCTGAATAGAAATAGTAAAGATGTTAGTAGAGGCAGGAAGTGACCTTGAACGAATGGATCATGATGGACGGACACCACTTGGATGTGCTTGCATTCAAGGAAATGCCCGTATTGTTGAATACCTTGTGGCTCAGGGTGCAAAAGTCAATATTAAAGACACAATGGGTAATTCTCCCCTTCTTCATGCCACCAATGGACCCCACACTAGCCTTGATCTGGTATCTGTTCTTCTAGCAGCTGGTGCTGAGGTAACAAAAACAGGTTTCATATGTATATTCACACACACACACACACACACACACAATTAAAAGTAGTACAATGTTAAAATAATTGCATTATAAATAATTGTTTAAAAACAGGAACCAGCTTTGAAAAGAAGATACACGTTCCAGTGTTGTTACACTACCATCTTCAGGAGTAAGAGCTGAAGTTTGGTCAAGACTTTTATAAATACACAATAATTTGCATACATTTGGCACCATCTAGACTTCAATTCTCAGTATTTATAAGACATATGTCCAGTACTTTGTTTCTTTTAAACTTGGACCAACCTTTTTGTTCAGCACAATATGTTTATTTCATACAGTTTAAATTGTTTCTCTGATATTTAATTCACACTTCAACTCCATCTGATTTATCAGTTTAATATTATACCAGTCTATAACATAAGATGTGCTTGTCACATGTTCTGCTACAGCCAACTAATTTACATTATATTTTCTGCTACATTTCTATGTTCCTTGATCCTAAATTTCAAGTTTCTGCATGTTTGGCCAATGCAAACTCAACCACAGACACAAAGAATTTTATAAATCCCACATTTAATAACTTCTACTTTATCTTTTATATCTGTGAGAAAATTAATTATTGACATCACTGAGAGAATGTTGCATTACAATCTATATACTTTTTAATCATGTTGCTTATTCTTGTTGACAAAACCTAAATATTGATAGATTATACAAAAAACAGCAATAAGTTAGAAATGTGTCATCCTGTACAAAGTTAAAAGGAAAGGGTACAGTTGATAACTTGATTTTTTTTGCCAAATGTTCATGCAGTTTGTTTCTATCATTAGACTCAAAACTCTGTTTGTCAGTCATTTGTTGTAATGTTTGTTTGTTCTGATAAATAACACGGAGATCTGAAAAATTTAATAACATTCATTTGTCAGTGAACTAGCATTTAAACATCTATCTGTATATGTAATCCTAGTAAGACAAAATTAATGAAAACTTTATCCCACAGATTGAACTGCAGATACTTCAGTAATTAATTTTTCTAACTAGTTTACCAATTAGGAATATTGAAAAGCTGTGCATACACAAAAGTAAAATTAGATTCGCTATTGAATAATAAAGAAACAATAAGATGTATGAGATTACTGTTGTTTTAAAAAGCCATTGATTTATTTGTTTCAATTTTAAATATATATATATATATATATAAGTAAATTCCTACCCTTTTATGAGATGCAAACGAAAAAGGCAAAAATATTCTCATAATAGAAATAGACCACCCTTTGCTTCTATAAAACTCTCAACTTCCACCTTTTTATTTAATAATTACAAAACAGTAGCGTAGGAAGGAGCTGCAAGGTGGGGTGATTGGCTAGAAATGTAGATTTTATAATGAGAGATTGAAAGTATAAGGTAGCTCAATTTAGGAGAGTTGGGGGGCATGCCATCTAGAAAATTAATATAATGATATAACTTACAGTTGCTATATAAGTCAAATATGAAAAGGGGGGGGGAGTGCTACATCACCCATGGTTTTGATGCCTCTGGAAAATGATGTTAAATAGAATTAAAACCTTTACCTTAATAGTTCTTAATTCTCCACCCTTCTCCCTTGTAGTTTTACATTGTAGAAATGTAGGCTTCTTTATTTCTACTTTAAGGATGTATCTAAGTATTAAGGGTAACTGCCTTCCCACAACTGGCTGCAGACAGCAAAAGTCAGTAGGAGTTGAGATGGGGATTCAAGCACTCAACTCCTAACCCTCAACTGATTTTCCTTAGTTGTTGGATAGGTTGACATCAATGTCTGGAACTTGTCTGATAGATGGAGTATCCCCAAAGTGTTTGGGTGCTATGGTTTTAGGCATTATCCATTATGAGTTTTTAATAATGACAACAAGAACTGGTAATGGAAAAATTAATTTTGATTTTTTAGTCTCTTTGTAATGTTTTTGATTTATATATATATATATATTTATATATAAGCAGTCAAATGTTTTTGTGTAACTCTTGGAACTAGTGAAATAAGTCTAACTTGTGTTAATTTTTTTCTGTGTCATTACAATCTCTGTTTAATAATAAATATACAAAGTACAAGAGTAGTTTATCACTGTGAAAGTCCATTTTTAATTCTTGTAATTAGTATTTTCTATACTGCTGTAGGTGAACTTAGCAAATAAACAGGGTGAAACACCTCTTCTGGCAACCATTCGTGGAGCCAGTCAAAAACCAAAAAATCTAAAAGTCTTGGAAAATGATGTTTATGTAGTGGAAGCACTTCTTCATAATGATTGTGATCTTACCTCTCAGACACCTCTAGGACAGTCTCCTCTTCATTTGGCTGTTGCTCTAAGAGAGGATGCTTTAGCTGAGAAACTTCTTCGAGCTGGATGTAATCCCAATACACCAGATGCACTAGGACTTTCTCCTTTGTTTCACATGGCAAAAGATGGAAAACAGAATCTAGTTAGTATGGCAATTGCTGTAGGGGGTGATCTCCGAAATCAAAAATGGATGAAGGATGATTCTTTATTAAGTGAGATTTGGGATCCATTTCTGCGAGAATTTTTGATGGTACAAGCTCTTCGGTTTCCAAGACTGAAGGATCTTTGCCGTGTGGTTGTCAGACAGTATTTAGAAAGAAGAGCTGACTGGGCAATCAACAGTCTTCCACTACCTCAGTCCATCAAAGAATTTCTTAAGCTTAACTTGTTTTTGTGATACTCTTTAATTGTTAATCAAATTTATTTGTTTGAAAAATCCATTCATTATACAAGATGGACTTTGTAATCTTAAGCAGCTTAAATCATGACTGTTTGAGCCATAATGTAGTGGTTGTCATTATTTTCATGTGTTGTATGCAATATATTTATAAATGTATTAAGTATTAGAGGCAGCAGAGTGTCTTTGATATTGGAAGTTGTACAGTAGTTTAAAAACTTAAGATTGTGGATTAAAATCGATCAGTAACATATTAATAGTAGAAATGTACAAGGATGAGTATAATTGTTTTCAGGTTGGGAGGGATTTTTTTGGGGGGATTTGTACATGCACCCTTGTATGTTAGTGAGTAAAAGAAGTTAAATTCTGTGGTATTACTATCGATTTTTTCAGAGATTCTTTCAAACGTCCCATTCTGAATAAAACTTAAGAAAACATTACTAAAGCTCGAAAGTGCATGCTGTTCAAAAGCAGTGAATAACTAAATTGAAAGTCATTTCTAAAAGATGCACACACCATGAGTAATAGTATAATTTATTTGTATGTATTTAAAGGTATAACAAGGTCAAAGTGAAAAGTGTTTAAGATTTTCTTCACAGGAAAATATTTGTTTCTGGCAAACCTTCTCTTTATTCTCCAGGCACATTTGTTCATTTAATTACCAAGATTTGCAAATCAATTATTTTTATTTTTCCAGAAATGCAAAATTTAGAACCTATTACAAATTGTTACAAATTTTTTTGACTTTGTGTGAGAAGATGTAGTAATTATTTTGAGAATTTAGTGGCAAAATGTGGCTTATGTATATATTATCATGATCAAAAAAGGGTTAGAGATTGGTTTATTTCATTTATGACAGGTCTTTCAAGAAGAAAGGTTTAGACATAAAATTAAAGGAACTAGCGTCAATTAATGAAATATGGCAGGGTATGTTCTGATCATTTTGAGCATGACTGCTGTGAAAAATGTGCATGATTTCCCTAAAATTGGCTGCCAAGGAGGATATACAAAAGCAATATCATTTTACTGACAGAGTACCAAATTACAGTGGGTATCTGAAAAAAAGACATTTCTTGCTTTTACTGTCTCTGTTAATAAAAGTATATTTATACCTGTTCAATAAAATTGGAGATTTTTACTTTAGTGTTTTTCTATTTCTCTAGAATCCATACAATCATGAGCTAATAGTTATTATTATTCTTGTTTATAATGTTAGACCTTGGATAAAGGCATCAGCCAAATTAATAATAATAATAATGTTGTTTTTTAATTGGGGAGATTCTGTTAAATTATCTGGTGAAAGTAACTTCAGTCCAGCCCAAGTAATGATAACAAATTTGTTTGTTTCTTTCTTAATATTTCTCAGGAAATACCATACACAATTAACTATGAGTAACATAAAAAGAAACGTATAATTTTATGACTGATGAACCAAATAACTGAATATATGTAATAACGAAGATGAATCCAAATACTTCAGGGAATGACTAGAAAAAATAACTATACTTATTCACTACTCACTGAAAGCAGAAAATTGATTCTCATATTTATAATCTAGTGTTGTTTCTAGATACTTTGCAAAGTCACTAGACTTTTGTGATCTGTAACACACTAGGCCTACTCCCATAAAGTTACTTGATCTTAATGTAGTTCATCATCTAGCTAACGTCTGAATTAAAACAGTGGAAATATCACCCAAAGTAATAATGATATTGTCTGGATTAAATCAAAACTTTGACCGTCCACTAAGCAAAAATTACAAACCTGGTATTTGATTGTGCCATTTTATTTATCAAAAACATTTTGCTTCTAATCAGTGGAACCCGACTATCAAATGTTAGGTTACTTCTACTTGATAGAAACCCACTATGCTTTTTTGTTGTAAATGTGCATGGCACTAGTGAATTGTATATCCCAAATACAATTCTGATACGATCATTCACTTCCATACACAGAGAGCTATTTTCCTCAGGAAGTTGTGCTATCTTCCTGAGAAACTTGAATACTATCAGCTGAACTGTCCACCATTAGGAGTGCAACATACAACCTTGTGCAAATCCTTCCTCAGAATTCTTGTGCAAAAATCCTCATTTCTTTTTCATGGCACAGTTGTGTAATGACTGTGTTTGTTTTTGCTGAGACTTGTCAAAATATTTCATTTCAACTACTTTATTTTGTGTTTTCAACTTATCAATACGAATTCACTATATAAGTGAGTGAAAGTAACTCAGTGACCAATTTACCAACAATTCTGAAAGTTCCTTGTCTGTTGAAGACATTACAGCCATCGTCCAACATGTGGTGGTGTCAATGATGAAAACCAGGACATGCTTCTTCCACCTCTGTCACACATTTCCCTTCACATTATTTTGAAAATGATGCTAAGAAGGAAAGAGTGGAGCAATTTTTTCCGCCTCCTGTATTTGCTTTAGATATCTCCATTCCCTATAAAGAACTTATTCAGTTCTCTTCAAGTTTGCAAGAACTCGTTATCCAGTTATGTACCGTTCTTTCTCAATCCTCCATAACTTATGATGCTTCCCATTTTCTATTTCACAACCTTTCCACTCGCAATTTATTTCTCAATCTGCTTTGTTTGTGTAATATAATGCCACATCCTCCACAAATGATTGGTTCCTAAGTTCTTGCCTATAGTCACTTTCTTTTCTTTTCCTGGACACCCAATCCTTGAAGTCTGTTTTGCTAGTCTGGGTGGCAGATTGTCTGTCAGTCATGTCCTCGTCCAGTGTCCACTTTCCGGACTTCACGCATTCCTTATTACTTTTCTTTGTTACCTCTTCTCTCTCCACCCCATGACAGAGGTGCTCCACCATGATGAATTTACAAAGGATGCTCAGAACTTCCTTTTCTCTTACCAGTTCTACTTCCTCTGCTCTTTATCTTCTCCCTTGGCACTTTGGTTGTTGGGGCCTCTTGGGTAGAGATACCCTACTTTCTCATGTTTGTTTACCTTCCTCCTTCCATAAACCTTGTTTTGCCCCTTTTGTCCGTCAGGAGGTCTTTGGTTGTGTGCCTGATTCCTTCAAATCATGGGCCAAAGATGCTCACCACCAGTTTTCTCTTTCCTCATTAGTCTTGTGTTTGTCCCAATATCACTCCACCACATCTCTCCCTCGACCTCACCCACCCTCCTCCCTATTCTCTTCCAGTATCTCAGTATCCCATCTCTTTCAGTCCTCTTTTTGCCTGATGTCCCTCTTGTCATCTTAACCATTGGTGACTATCGGGCTGGTAGAGGTTCCATGGGAGCCCATCTGTCCCAAATTGCTCATTAGCAGGCTCCTTTTGCTGCAGATGAGTCATTCAAATCCTAATCCACAGTCTTGCACCTCCATTGGGAATAGCATTAGACTAGTATGTTTTCAATCATATTATGTGGACT